CAGTCTGCCTTTGCACATGATGCTGGTGTCCTCTTGAAGGTTGATTGGAGGAGAACGATGCAAATTTCCTCTTGACCCCTGAGTTGGAGCCCATCACCTGCTGAGACTGAGGCTCCTCGAGACATTTGTCCATAACCAACGCACACCTGACTGCTGCTGCATAAGTAGTTGGCTCCTTGAGAACAAGTAGCCCCTTGATCTCCCTACGCAAATCGTCAATGAACTTGTCAATCTTTAATTGTTCAGTAGGAATATATTGCATTCCAAAACGGGACAGCTCAGTGAACTTCCTCTCGTATTGGGTCACAGTTAGGCTCCCTTGAGTGAGACGGAGAAACTCTGCCCGTTTTTCATTCCTGACAGTCACGGGGAAATAGTACTCATAGAGTAGGTCCTTAAACCTCGCCCATGTGACGGGTACGTTGGCGTGATCCTCCGCTGCCGCCACCGACTCCCACCAATTTACTGCTTCTCCCCGAAGCATAAACATTGCTCCCCGGACCTTGAATTCGTCGGAGCATCCCAAATACACATAAAGGGCTTCCAACTCCCTGACCCATTCCTCGGTCGCAGTAGGCCTCTCACTCACCCCGTTGAAAACTGGTGGTCCAAAGCGTTTGAAATCCCTGATAAACTGAACCTCCTCTTGTTGAATCTGTGCCCGACGAGGCTGCTGCCCTTGAGCTCCACCGGCTCCATTCGCATTATCCAGCAATACTTGCAAGGCCTCAGCTAGTAACGCCACCTGGGGATTCACCTGGGGAACTCCCTGGGGTGCTAACTGAGGGACCGGGGGTGCTACCCCTCTAGGAACTGTCGGGGGAACATTCAGATCCGCTGCTCCCTCACCCCTAGGATTCGGATCCTCGTAGTTGTGAGCTCTCGTATTTCGCCGAAAAGCCATTGTCTAAAAACAGAGCACCAAGGTCATTAACGCACTAACCGGAGAACAATACAAGTGCAAAGTTCAAGCAAAGTCTATATAATGAACCAAGGAAACACGTCGACCTATATAATGTCAGTCAATAATAATATCACAACCATAAGCAATGTAAAACATTCATGATCGAACAACAGCACTAGGAAGCGTACCTGGTGATGACGAGGAGACTGACAAGGACCATACCCTAACGACCTAGATTCTAGGACAGTCTACAGGAACAACTCCGCTCTGATACCAATTGTAACGACCCAAAATTTTCCACACAATTCTCAGTCACGTTAACTACCCAACTAATTAAACTTAACCCCCAAATACATCATGCCAACTCCCTATACAAACAAATATATAAAAACAAGTTCCAATTCTCATCAATTTAACGACAAATCAATCTCATAGTATATCATTCGACAACGTTCGTGGACCACCTCACGAGGCAAGTTTATTATTCAAACTAGGCAAAATTCAAAGCATGGAATAAAACTAAGATAGGCACTCATCCCGAAATGAAACTAACAACAAGGGGAAATATCCCAATTATTCAAATGCAAACAAATAATTTATTGACCCTAACATAACGTTTTGACTAATCATTTAAACTAAGCAAGAGTGACTAGGAAGCCTATGGTCCTCACTCGTCATGTCTCCTCCGTCCCATCACCATGGTCGCCCACGAGTCCTTTACCTGAAACAATCATTGTAGAGGGGGGTGAGTATATAAAATATACTCCGTAAGTAGCCCTCACCAACACACACACACATCATGCTCAACTCTATCTAGAAACATTCGTAGACATGCTTTTCAATACACTAAGCATTCAAACATAAACCCATTCCATAACATTTTAGTGACAACCACAGCCAGGAAGCACGTTAACAACCAACCCCTAGACTCCCTAACAGCACAAGTACCTCTACGCTTATCACAGTTATCCTACGCTTCCACAGCTATCTCCTTCGAGTAGGGTCGGCCCCTGACCATTTATACCCAGAGCCCCGACCCTGCTGCATCGACCCTCGACCATTTATATCCGAGGCCCCGATGACTTCACCATCTATTGGCCCTTGACCATTTATACCCAAGGCCCCAATAGTCTTCCCTCCAAAGGACTCCTCGTATCGACCCTCGACCATTTATACCCGAGGCCTCGATACTCCGTTAGTGACGTATCAGCCCCCAACCATTTATACCCGAGGCCCTGACACCCACTCTTTCATTCCTTCCAAAAATCCAACCTTCACCGGAGTCTTACTATATACTTTCTTTTACCACTAACCCTGTATCTTTCAACTCACAAGTACAGTTCAGCATGCTTTCACAACTTTATCAACTTTCTAATAACGAAATAACAACCCAATCATGCTCAATATCCAACATCATTATTTAACAAGTATTACTAAGAATAATAGCTCGCTAAACACGTCGAACAAAACATACATATCCAGACAACAAACATTACCAAAATAACAACCCAATCATGCTCAATATCCAACATCATTATTTAATAAGTATTACTAAGAATAATAGCTCGCTAAACACGCCGAACAAAACATATATATCCAGGCAACAAACATTACCACAGCAATACTCACAATTTAGCAAAGCAGAAAACTCACCATTTTTCATCGACAAATACTCAACACCATTCCGAGTATATCGACTACCACAACGAAAATTATTTAGCACAATGACATCACAAAATTAGCATTAAACGTCACAAAATCAGCACGTTAGAGACCA